TGGGAGTGGACATTCAGCATCTGCTCCCTGGTGGTCAGTGCGCATGATAGTGACCCGTCAACCATTTGGTCGTTGGGTCATACAGTTGCTTTAGGGTTTTATATATATATAGATGCTTTGCTCTTTAGCATGTCCAGTAGACCTCTGGAGCCTGTCCAACCTGCCTCACACCAGCACCTGCCCGCCCCCCCCCAGAGAGCGACACACTGTCCACTCCTTTGTCCTGCAGACTTGCTGCCCAGGCCTGCACCGCCCTGCCGTCCCTGGCTAGGATTTCCATCTACAATGACCTCCCTCCTCATTTATATCTGCAAAAGTTTCTTTTCAGATAAACCTGGCTCAGTTCTCCTCCCCAAACAAAAACGAAACCCAAGCCTGACAAAGAATAGGCAATTCCCAAAAGAAATTAAAATGGTTTATGAGCAGTCACAAACCATGTTCAAACTTAATAGTAATCAAAGACATTTTAGCGATATTACATCTTTGCCTGCCAAACTACAAATAAAAACATAATAATAATAAGTGATGCTGCCCAGGTCGGCAGGGGTGTGGGCGAACGGGCACTTTCACGCCCGGCTGGCGGAGAACGGCTTTGGGGCCTCCCTGGAAGGGCACTGTGTGCTCTCACCCAGCAAGTCTGCGTTCAGGAATTTCTCATAGAGGAGTAATCCTGGGTGGGCACAGAATTGCATGACAAATATATTGATCACAACATTGCTTATATTTAAACATTAGAAGTAGTCTAAATTTCCAATAACATTCAAAGTGATGCTGTAGAAGACATTTTAATGAATTGTAAAGGTGCTCATGTTGTGTTTCAGGAAAAAGCAGGTTACAAAAGAAAACGTATTATGGGATCCATGAAAAAGTCTGTATGTATGCATGCACGTATGTGGGTGCGTGTGTGCATGTGTATGCAGGTATACACATTGTTTCTGCAGGGTGGAGGGGCTACGGCGTTTCTGCTCTGTCCCAGCACCAGCCCTCCCCTCTCCTCTGTCCCCACCCAAGTCTTCCTCAGAAAGGACCCCAGGGACTGCTCGGCACCCTCACTCAAGAAATACAAGGTACACAGCCTGGTAAAGTGGCCACACTCTGTTCGCAAGGGAAAAAGCAAACTGCAAAACACGGCAAATAATAAAATCCACTTTTTATAAAATGGAAAAAAAAAATCCCCAGAGAGTCCTTCCTACACTCACGGACCTCACCCAACCTCCACGTGAGCTCAGAAACAAAGCTGGAGCCTGCTGCAGGGCCGGCTCCAAAGCCAGGCAGGGCTTCCAGACCCGTGCGGCCCAACACAGTAGCTACTCGCCACAGGTTGTTATTTAGATTTAAGTCCATTAAAAGGAAATGAAATTTGCCCTGGCTGGTTTGGCTCAGTGGCTAGAGCAGTGATGGCGAACCTTTGGAGCTCGGCGTGTCAGCATTTTGAAAAACCCTAACTTAACTCTGGTGCCATGTCACATATAGAAATTTTTTGATATTTGCAACCATAGTAAAAAAAAGATTTATATTTTTGATATTTATTTTATATATTTAAATGCCATTTAACAAAGAAAAATCAACCAAAAAAGTGAGTTCGCATGTCACTTCTGACACGCGTGTCATAGATTCGCCATCACTGGGCTAGAGCGTCAGCCTGCAAACTGAGGTCCCAGGTTTAATTCCAGTCAAGGGTTGCGGGCTTGAGGGGGCGTGCAGGAGGCAGCCAATCAATGATTATCTCTCATCATTAATGTTTCTATCTCTCTCCCTCTCCCTTCCTCTAGGAAATCAATAGAAAAATATACATATACATATACATGTACATACACAGGAAATAAAATCCAAAATAACAGGAAATGAAATTTAAAATTTAGTGCCTCAGTAGCACTAGCCACACGTCAAGTACTCCACAGCCACTGGGGGCCATGGTGCCGGACAGTGCAGATGAGGGACATTTCCGTCACAGTGGGAAGTCCGACTGGACGGCACTGTCTACTGGACACGCTAAAGGTCCGCATGACCACTGAGGAGCCGGCGCTGCCTGGCCAGGGTGGCCCACTGCACCGTTAGAGGAGGGGCAGGTGGCCCGGGATCCCACTGGGTCTGATGTCTGGTTAGCTCTGGTGGGCTCTGGGCTCATGGGACCCCAGCGTCCCCACAACGGCGGGCAGTCACTGCTCGCCCACCTCCACCCACGGCATCTCCTCTGCAATGTCCCGCCCTGAGGCACCAGCCTCTCCTGCCTGCCGTGGAGCCGGTGCTCCCGAGTGGAACACGCGTGCTGTGTGTGCTCCTGCAGCCTGACCACAGGGCAAGGAGAGGGGACCTCCGAAAGGCCCGCCTCCCTCCACCCCTTCACCAGGCACCGGCCCCGCAGCCCAGGGAACAAGACACAGGCCTCACCACAGTCACCACCGTCTGATTACTTGGCCCACTGCAGTCAGGCTCCTCAGCTGCCCCTCCCCCTGCGAACTGGGGCCAGGGAGAGGGGCCCTCCCACCCACTTCTCCTTTCCCTTTAATGCAGACACCGCTCTCTGGCTTTTGCCTACCGAAGTCCCGCCAGCTCCCGGCCCAGGGCCCACACACTCACAGGGTCCTCAGGCCGTCCAGGCCGCGGAACATGCCACTGCGGATGGACTCCAGCTGGTTGGCGGTCAGGTGCAGCTCGCTCACAGAGGCAGCGCCCTCGAAGGCCCCGTCTTCGATTTCTGACACCTTGTTGTTGCTCAGATTGCTGGGAGAGGAGGTGGCGGGAGGATGACGGAGCTCAGGACCCCTTACCCCCTACCCCCTTCCGACACCCAATCCCTGTGCACAGGAGCCCTGCCCCCCTACCCCGCAGGAGCTCCCCGACACCCAGAATCTTCCTTCTGCATCCCCGGCCAGCGTCCTGACTGCAACCTTCCCGCCAATGGGCAACTCACATTTTCTTCAGATGGGTGAGTTTTTTAAACATGCCAGTGGCCTCCAGGATGGAGATCTCATTGTTGTTTAATCGCCTGTAAGAGGCAATCGAGGGAACTTACACACCGTAAATGACAGACACTGAAGTATCTTTCAGTGCGGGGGGCTGGGGGGCTCACAGCTCCGCGGTGGACTGGGGGATGCGCTCGGGGATCTTGGTGAGCCTCAGGCTGGAGCACTCCGCCACGCCGGCCTCACAGCGGCACTTGTGGGGACAGACCACGTCGCTGTTGCACTCGCTGTTCAGCTGATAATCCTCCGTGCCTGCGGTGAGATGGCCGGGGCCGGGGCTGAGGGCTGGGGCAGGCTCCACGCAGGCTCGCCCACCCCCTCCGGCTGCTGCCCCAGCCTCCTGCCCATCCACAGCCACCGTCCCACCCGGACGGCCCCCGGTTCCCCCACTTTCCCACCTGGAATGAAGTACTGCTCTTTGGCTGCAAAGGGAAACACCATGATGTTAGTGGGATCGTCCAGGACTTGCAAGAAAGCCCAGGCCCACTGCCCAGCCGGACGCACCCCAGGAACAAGGCTGGGGTCCCAGACCAGGGCCCACCTGCCCAGCCCCTGTGTGGAGAAGCCCTTCCTTGCCCGGGCCAATGCTGGGACAGCACCCCACCCAATTACACCTCTCAGGGAGGGCCAACGCCACGGGCACAGATGGGGCTGGAGGGCATCAGTCCTCCGACCAGAATCCAGGCTCAGAAGCTGACCCACCCTGTCCCCGGACACAGGCTGCTTCTGCTGCCTCTGGACCTGGAGGAGGCCGCTCTCTCACTGGGAGGGTCCCAGGCCTCCGAGGGTCTTAGGCTGAAAGTGGTACGAGAGCACTGGCCTGGGGGTGGAGGACCTGGGTCCTTGTCTGGGTCCTCCGTCGGGACCTCCCCTCCCCAGGCTTGGGATAAAACAGGGGTGGGACCAAACACCATTCAGATCCACGTCCACAATTTGGGGCCCACACCCCGGACATCCTTGCTGGAGTCAGCCAGGAAGCATCTCGGTCCCCGGGCAAACGGAAGACAGACAGGGGGCAGGCAGCTACCTGAGCACCGGAACTTCTTGCTCTTGATCTGCCCGATGCGCTTGTTGGCCAGGCGCCCGGGGCTGGCGCAGCGGGCCCCGCTCGTCTCGATGGGGTTGGTGCGCAGGAAGTCCGCCAGCCACTTGAGGTTACAGTCACAGATGAAAGGGTTCTGGGCCAGATGCCTGTGCAAAAGGGGCAGGTCAGGGGTCAGAGCTGGGGCTCCGGATCTGCGCTGACCTCCACCTGGATGAGTGAGGCCTCCCCGCTGGCTCTCAGCCTGAAGTCCGGGCTGGCCCTGGGGAGACACGCACCACCTGAGGGCACCGCTTGGGGGCACCCACCACCCTCAGAGAAGTCTTGCCCAGCATCACAGAGAAGAGGGCTCGGCAGCTCTGGGGCCCCCAGCTGTCCCTGCCACACTCCCCAGGCCAGCCCCCCGTCCCCACTCCTGCTCTCACCTGCCCCTCCCTCTGCCCGGGGACATTTCACAAACACGAATGGAGGCAGGAGTGACCCGCGGCCAGGCCAGAGCACCGCTGTCCTGCCGCAGGTGAGGTGGCAGAGCAGGCACCAGGACCCAGGCTGCCTCCTCCTGGCCATTGTACAGGCCGCCCCTGGCCTGTGACCTCTAATTGCCCATTCTTGACAAGATTTCCCCGTGGTGCGCCACCTTCCTCTCCCGGCTGTAAGGAAATCAATTAGCAGGAGGGGGCTGCGGGCGGGCTCGTGGGCTTTAATGAGTTTGTCTTCGTGGCTGACATCCCAGCAATGTGCAGAGTCCCCAGGGAGCAGGACTCCGTGCAGGTGTTACCTGAGGATAAACACTGTGGCGGGGATGGCAATGACAAGAATGGCTACGACAGCATTGGTGATAAACGCCCATGAAGTGCACACCGTCGGCCCACAGGCCAGCACATCGAGTCAAACTATAGGGCCCGGGGTTAAAGATGCAGAATGAAGGACACCACCTACTAGTAAGTGCCTAGTTTAACCAAATAGAAGATGACAAGAAACTTCCCTACCCAGCAGCATGCCAGCTGGAAATAAGGACTCGTTATAAAAGCATAACCACAACCGCATTATCAAATGAAGAAGGAACGTTAGAGTTCAAACGTCTCCATTTCAGGACCCCTAATGAACGAGTGGGTCCAGGCATTCAGATCAATGGCCGTGTTCATTACAGAAAGAGAGACAACCAGACATCATGTGCCTCCTGTGCAAGTACACGGTCCTCCCTATGAAGTCACTTTGCCCAAAAAAGAAAGGGAAAAATCGGAACCTGGCCAAGCTCCTAGATGTACACTTCTGTGTTCAGGACAGAGGAGTGTGGGAAACTACGCCATGGGGACTACAACCAGGGAAGTCCATGCTGGGGGAAACTCCACGGAACCAATAATGCAGTGTATGCAACAAACAAACTGCAAGGAGAAAGGGAGTGGAGAGGACACTTATAGATTAAAAACTGAAGTGACACATCCACCAATACCAGCCAATTGTATTGCACAGGCCTAATTTAAATCCTGATTCCAACACATTGCCTTCAAAATTGTATAACGTGTGTGAGATACTTGGAAATTCAGTAATGAGATATCTGATGATATCCAGGGATTAATTTTTAAATGTTCAAGATATAATAATAGTGATGTGGTTGTGTTTTTAGAGTCCTTGCCTTTTATACATATGTGTGAAGTGACAAGTGATAGAAGATAAATGATGCCCGGGAGGCAGGGAAGAGGGGAAGTGTAGATGAAAGGGGACTGGCCCTGAGTGAAGCTGGGTGGTGAGTACTGGCCGGGCCACAGTACCACCTTCAATATGCTTGTAATATCCTATAACAAAAGATGAAAACAAATTCCTAGTGCCGTTGCTCTCTAATTTTTAATCATCATTGCCATTACTAGATTTTATCTGATTTAAGACATTATCCATTGCAAGAGGTACTTTTATGTATTATCAAGAAAGAACAAAATGTCAATTAAATGATGCCGTCGACGTTGCAATGCACCCCAATTTCAGAGCTGTTAATGTGGAAACAATATGTGTCTTAGAATCAATGGACATTGTTATTATTATTACTATTATTATTAACTGTAGCCAGCATTTAAGAAGCATTTACAACATGCTAAGCTCTATACAGACATCCCCTTTAATCCCATAACAACCTTATGAAGATGATACCCTCATTTTATGAATAAGTAAACGGAGGCCCAGAGAAGCAAATTAACTTGCCCAGAGTCACACAGCCAATATGAGGCATAGCTGGGATTTGAACCCAGGATTGTCTAACCCGGTGCCTGTGCTCTTTCCTCCCTAAGAGATGAATCTGGTGAGAAAAAGGCACAGGTCAAGGCGGTTAGCTGCCTGCACCAGGAGGCTGTTGCCTCCCCCTAGGTCCACCTGCTGGGCAGAGGGGGGGCGGGCAGAGGGCACTCACAGGGTCTGGATGGCCCGCAGGGAGGTGAAGGTGCCCTTGGCCAGGCTCTGGATCTTGTTGTCGTACAGGGAGAGAAGCGAGAGGTTCTGCAGGTCCTGGAAGGCGTCCGGCCGGATGCAGTTGATCTTGTTGGCATTCAGGAGCCTGTGGGCAGACCAGGGCCAGGTGGTGAGGGGAAGGCACAGCATCAGACTCACCGACACGTCCTGGGCACCTTCCTGGGCGCCGAGCAGGCACAAGGATCTGGCCGTCTGTGTGCCCACCCCACGCAGAGGCGTGGAGAACTCTGACTGCCTCCTCCATGCACGGGGACCGGACCAGCTCAGCCCCCCCTCTTCTCTCTTTCAAGGAACTGCTAGAGGTGCCCCTGGCATCCCCGGAAACCAGAGAGCATCGGGGCAAAGCCACCTCCCAAAGGCTCCTCCCCCGTCCCAGAGTTCTGCGGGGTCCCAGGCAGCTGAGAGGGGCTCCGTGCCGCTTGGGTCCTGGGAGAGAGCCCTTGCTTGACCTCTCCTGGTTTGAGGAGGCTGAGCTGGCCTGGGTGACCCATGTGGTGGATAGCTCTCCTCAGCCATGCGGCCTCCTTAAGACCAGCCTGCACCGCAGCAGCCTCTGGTTCGGGCCTCCCGCCATCAGTCCGAGTCGCCTCTCTGGCCTCTCACAGCCCTACTACATCCGCCATCCTCCAAGCTCCTCGCCTCCAGGGCGTCCCACACCCCAAAGAGGTGGGAAAGGCCAGGCTGGGAGGCCAGAGGAATACTGGCTCCCTCCCAGGGCCCCACCCAAGCAACCATCCGATGGGTCCTTACAGGAGCTGCAGGTTGTACAGGCCGCCAAACACACCCCGGGGGAGGTCCGTGATCTTGTTCCCATAGAGGACCCTGGAGAAAAGGCAGCAGAAGGGGAGAGTTAGAGGACAGCCCGCCAGGCTGGAGGTTTGTCATAACGAATTGCCAGCAGATGGCAGTAGAGTGATTAAGAAAGAGTCCCCTGTCCTTTCTAGGTGTCCCGGTTAATGATTAATCTGCATTAATCAGTAACCGGTTAACAATGCGGATGAACCAGTAACTGGTTAATAATGTGGATTAATTATTAACAGGTTAATAATGTGGATTACTAACTGGTTAGTATTGCAGATTAATCATTAACCGGTTAGTAATGCAGCTTAATTATTGACCGGTTAATAATTCGGATTTTGTGATGAAAGAAAACATGATAATTTCAAGAGAAACATTGAAAGTGCTTTATTCAAAGTAATGTCCATCGCTAGCACTTTTCTTCCACATAAAGTAATGAATTAAAACTTCCCGCAAATACTTTTTTTGACATGAAATTCGACATTTTTAAGCGTAAAAATATCTATGATGTTAACACCTTCAGAAAATTTGACACATGAAGTTCTGAAGCTTGTTGTCAATACAACAAAATAGCATACACATCAAAGCACATACATATCAACATATGTGTAACCCCATCAATTGAAAAAAATCCGCATCATTAACCGGTACACCTAGTAGTTTGCATACAAGTACGCTAAGGGCTCGAGGTGGCCGTCACCCCATTACTGCAGGCACAGCCCTCCGTCCACACATGGGCCCCACAGAAGCCTGCAAAAGGACCCTTCAGGGAGCCTCGTGGGAAATCAACCTGCTCTGGGACCCAAAAGAGACCGTTCAGGGAGAAATCTCATGGGCGGGAGGAGGTAGCATGTGAGCTCCCGCAGGTCATGCAAGTCTATGGATCAGAAAAAGCACCGGGAAGAAACAGACCACGGTGCTGGCTGTGCCGAGACCCGGGCGGCGGGACTGCAGCGGGTTTCTGTACTTGGGTATGTTCAGTTCTCTACACTGAGCGCGAATTCCGTGTAATTCGAAAAAAAGCAGAGACTCAAAAATGCTGTGCAGGCGGGAACGGGCTCAGGCAGACCAAGAGGAAGGAAGGGGGTTGGGGAGTGGGGTCTATTTTATTCCCAACATCACAAGCAGCACCCCCCTCCCCACACACGTTCCCTCTGAGCAAAAACAGTGTGCTGCCTCTTCACACATGACTTCCAGATCATTCCCGGAGGGGGGCCGGTAGGAGCAAAGGCCCCGCGGTGGGGGCGGCTGGCGCTGGGGGAGCCCCCGCGTGGCCTGAGTGGAGGGACAGAGCTTGGATGTCGCCCATCCAGCACCAGGCAGCCTCTGAGACACGATCAGGTTCCCATCTGCAAAGACCCCCCAATCTGCCGTGTGGAGAAGGGCGTGGAGGGGGCAGGAGTGGGTGCAGGGAGTTAAGAACAGAAGCCCACTTAGATGTGTTACCGACACGTCCAACTTAGAAGGAGATCCATTCGCTCCTCAGAGGAAGAGGCCTGCATTGTGGCAGCCCCTCCAGGACCTGATCTCCGCCACCGACAGTGGCCCACGCCCAGGCAGCCACGTACTGCTGTGTGGTCGTACACTCCACGCCCTAAGCGGCGCCATTCACAGGAGGCCCTGCCTCGGACTCCACTCCAGGAGAAAAGGGTGCACACGGAAGGCACTCAGCGACGGGGGCTGCATCCCCCTCCACTTCCCAGGACCCTCATCTACGTGAGGCATGTGTCCATGCTGCCAGGGGGCAGTGAAAACACGATTCCTAAGATTCCTAAGAGTAACACAAGGCCCCCGCCTGCCTACAGGCACCCTGAGGCACCCTGAGCACTTGCTCTGCATAGACAATGTGCCTATGGGACCTCAGAGAGTGAGGGGCTTGGTGAACATGGCGGGGGGGAGACAAGCAGGGGTTCTTGGAAAAAGAGAGATGGATGAAGTAACATTCCTGAATGAATTTGTGTGTGTGTGTGTGTGTGTTGCTAAATTTAATTTTTATTTTTCCGAGATAAAATTTTGATGCTGCATGATGCTTTGTAGATTTACAGACCCCACCCCCACCCCAGTAAACCCTTGAGAAAGGGGAATGCTGGAGAGAGGTGGAGGAAAATGCTTCCTTCGCATCCTCACCACAACTTGGGATCAGAGCATGCTGGGGACGGAAGACACAGGTGTGGCAGGTGTCACAGCTGGAGCTGGTGGGTGCTCCATTGTAGGTGACCTGGGGAAGGCTCAGGAGCATGGAGTGCTGGGCCTCTGTGGGGAGGCAGGGCCAACAGGAAAGCTGGGCCGAGTCCAATAACTGCCACAAAGCATGCTGGGAAAATCCCCACTGTGGTGGGGAGAGCATCACAATTGCCAGGGCAACAGCTCTGCCTGATTTTGCATGCACTTAGTCCTGGATTCTCGCATCCCCTCCCAGCTGCAGAGGGTCCACCAGTGAGGAAGGGGATGCTGGGCATAGCGACCCTGGACTTTGCAGCCAAAGGGAAACCCGCTGAGGCCGGGAGGGTGGGGGCTGTGCTCTCTCTCCAGCGCCCACTGGAGGGGCTCCAGGCCCTGCTGGCCTCCTTGGGAGACACCCTGGACCCCGGCAGGCGCTGCTACTCACAGTGAGTTCAGGGAGCGGAGGCCCTGGAAGGCATCAGGCGCGATCTCTGCAATCTGGTTGTTGCTCAGGTCTCTGCAGTGAGAGAGAGAGAGAGAGGGTGGCTGAATCCTTCAGCAGCCACCAAGCCGTGCCTGGTCCCCTGCCCCTCCCAGATGCCATGGGAGGGCAGGGGCTGCTTTGAAATTAGAAAAGTGAGGGGCCCCTTCTCTCCTCCATCAGGAAAACCCATGGCCCTATCCCCCTGTGCAGTCCCAGGGTCCTGCGCGGATGGGACACTTCAGCCTTGGTCTGTTTTGACAGCTTTCCCCCACCTCCCAGCTTCCCCAACATCCCCTCTTATGTCCATGGCGGCTCCCATTGGTGCCCAAGCTGAAATGGAAGGATGATAGTCTGGCCATATGCTAGACTCGGGCTCAACATTTAGGCCTCAGGACAACCCTGCAAGGAGGTCACACCACTGCCAGCCCAGGTCACAGAGGAGCCACCTCAGGGGCAGGACGGCCAGGCAGCAGCTTGCCCAGAGGCAGAGGCAGGGCCTGGCCGGGCTGTGGCCGGCCAGGCCCAGGGTCTCCCTCCTGCCCCTGCTGACTCTCAGGAAGCAGGGGGAGGCACTCACATCCTCCGAAGCTTTCTGTAGGGAGAGAAGGCTCCCGGGGGAATGGACTTGATTCCGTTGAGCTCTAGGCGGCTGCAGGTAGAGAACACAGAGGGCCCCCCGGTCAGGTCGCCCCAGTCTGGGCTGCTGCCTGCTGGGCTCACCCACCCAACCATGCCCTCTGTCCCCCTGCCCTGCTCCCAACCTCTGTCTGGAGTCGGCGGGCTGGCACAGGCAGATGTGAGCTCCATTATCCCAGGCTGCCATGGCTGAAAGGGGCCCACAGATGATGCTAATTCTAAGAACCCAGTCCTAGCAGACACCCAGCTGGGTTGGACAGATCGACCACAGAGGAACACCCACTCCCAGCCCGCCAGCGTTGCCCAGCCTGGGCAGAGAGCTCAGCCCGCCAAAGCACTGACTTCTCCATTTGCACGGAAGGACCTTGAAACAAGCCTTTGGGTGGCATCCACTCCAGCTCTTCCCTGGACCACCAAAGCCTGGCCCAGCCCCACAGCCTGTGCCCCGTGCCTGTCCTGCCCTGTACTCACATCTCCGTCATGGTCTCGGGCAGGTTGGCAGGGATGGCGGTGAGGCCTTTGCCACGGCAGTCCACAATGCCGTTGCTGCAGGAGCACATGGCCGGGCAGGAGCCGGAGGAGAGGGTGCAAGAGGGCACGTGCCCTGCCTCCCCCTGGCCTGCGGAAACAGTGGGCTGTGACCTCGGGGTGTCCCGTGTCAGCACCTCCCTCCTGAGATACAGACTGATGAGTAGGGACGGGGCACATGGTGTTTCTCTGGATGAGGATGAACCCGAGATCACCAAGAACTCCCGTGTAGCCCTGCGGGCACCTGGCACACAGAGGACCTTGTTTGTTTGCTGAACTTGAATCTCGACCTGACTGTGCTGCGCGGAAGTGGGATTCAGGTGCCAGGAAACCCCAGACTGAATTCTGAAGCCACAGGTTCTCGTCCAAGTCACTCGGCGCTTTTGAGCCTAAGTCTCCTCGTCCATCATTGAAGGATGACAAGGACTCCGCCTGCCTAGCACTTACTCTGTGTCACATGCTGTGGTAAGTGTTGTACATGTGGTATCTCCTCTAGTCTTACTGCTCAACCTTGGAGGAGCATGGTATTATTGTGCCCATTTTACAGGTGAGAAGACAGAGTCCTCGATAGTCATTAATTTGTGGAAACTCACATACCTGATAGACGCTGAAACTAGGATGAAGCCCAGTGCCTGATAAATTACTGTAATTGAAGTATAAGTTATATACAGGGTACTGTCTTAAGTGTATAGCTGATTTCTACTTATGAATATTACCGCCCCCCCCCGGACATGTAACATTTCTATCACCCACAAAGGCTCGTCTACCCTTTCCCCAAGGCAACCATTGTTCTGAGACCCAGCACTAAAGATTTCGAAATCAGACAGCAGGTTCTCGTGTCTGGCTTCTTTGGCTCCGTATAAAATCTTTGGCATTGTGTCTGTATCAGTAGGTGTTTTTTTAACTATGACTAGAATTCTATTGCATAGATGAGTTATAAATAGTCAATCCACTCTTGTTGGTGGACATGTGCGCTGTCTCCAACTCTGAGCTGCTGTGAAGAAAGCTGCCTTGGATATTCTTGGACACGCGTGTTGGCAGAGCATATGCACACACCTAGCAGGAGCTGCAGGGTCGCGGGTAGACATATGCTGGGCTTCCGTAGATTCTGCTGAACAGTTGTGCGAAGCGGCTGAGCCGATTTACACGCCCACCAGCGTTTTAACCTCTAACCTTTGCTTGGCTCCCCTGAAGGGTGGGCGCCAAGATCAGAAAAGACAAAGTCCTAGGCCCTCTGGCAAACTGTGGCAGCGCCTTCTCAGGAGAGTGGACGCCAGGAGGAACAGACGGGGGCGGGGGGGCCTGAATATAGAAACCAAGGTATTCAAATGCAAAGAAAAAGGTCTCACTTCAAAATAACTGTCCCAGTGAAGTATCCACTCCTCTTCCTAAAACCTGGGGCTGCAATTACTCAGAGGGGCATCAGCCTGACACTCCTCACACATGAGTGCATACCCACGTGTGCACACACATACACACGCTCACACACTCATACTCCTGTACGCACACTCACAATCACAGTCATAGTCACACACTCACATGCTCACACACACACAGACTCACACATACAGTCATACACTCTCTCCACATGCACCCTCACATTCACACAGTCACACACACACACATATGTATATGTGTGTATATATATTGATTTCAGAGAGGTAGGGAGAGGGAGAGAGAGATAGAAACATCAATGGTGAGAAAGAATCATTGATCAGCTGCCTCCTGCATGCTCCCTACTGGGAATCAAGTCCAGAACCCGGGCATGTGTCCTGAATGGGAATCTAACACTCACACACACACTCACACACTCACACACACACACACACTCACACACACACTCACACACAAACACACACCCTCACACACTCTCACATACACACACACACTCACACACACACACACTCAGCAGCCCTCAGCTCAGCAGTGCTCAGGGGCAGCCTCTGTGCTGCCAGTGCTGTGGGGGAGGGGAGCCTCACACGGACGATAGGCTGCGGGGCCCAGTAGACACTCCTCCCTCAGTGCTCTAAGCGGCTGGCAGGCTCACTCACTGGTTTGGGAGAATGGGCAGCCCCTCATCCTCTGTTGTGAATCTGAACCGTTCATTCACTCAGCAAACCTTTCTTGAGCATCTCTCTGTGCCAAGCACAGGCCAAGTGCTGGGGAGACGGTCAGAAACCACGACCGCATAGTCCATGTGCCCGGGGCCAGGGAACAAGGCGGGAGGGGGTGCCAACAGGTCCAGCCTGCGAGAAGGCTGGGGTGGGAGGCACCTGCTCCGGGAAGGGCCTGGGCGGGCCCAGCTGGGACACACTGAGTGACAAGGCCAAAGGGCGGCCGGGGGAGGCTGAGGTGACCCTGCCCTGGCCTCGCAGAGCCTGGGGACAGTTTGGACTCTCCCAGGGGGCTGGTGAGTACCAGGCAGCAGTGACCTGCCCAGACCTGTGGGTCCTTTCAGGTCCTCTGGCTGCAGATGGAGACGGAAGGGGCTAGAAAGGAAGTGGGGTGGGCAGGCAGGAGGCTCTCACAGCCGAGGCTAGATGGGCCAATTCAATGACTTTTCAGACAAGGCCGTCACAGGAGGGAAGGGTGGCAATAGGAGGAGGCAAGGGGTGGGAGGGGAGGGGAGGGGTGAGGGACAGGAGGTCGGACAGAGAGGGACAATGTGGGAGGAGGCGATGGGCAGACAGGAAGAGAAGATGGCTGTGGCAGGAGGGACAAAGGAGAGAAGGCAAGAGGTGATATGTGGAGGCAAAGGCTTTGGGTGAGAACAGGAGATAATGGATGGACAGCAGGGGGAGATGGGTGGACACAGGAGGTGACAGATAAAGACAGAATGTGATGGGTAAAGAAAGGAGGTGATGCCTAGAGACAGGTGGTGGATGGGAACAGAAAACGGGTGGAAACAGGAGATGGTGGGTGGTCTAGAGGCGATGGAGGAGGACAGGAGGTGATGAATGTGCCAGATGTCAATGTGTAGTGGAGACAGGAAGTAATGGGGGGAACATTAGGGGGAGGCTGCAGGAGGCAGGTGATGGGCAGTCGAGATAGGCAGTCGAGAGCCCCAGCGGGCCTGCACCCACCTGAGCAGCTGAACTCGCTCTTCTGGACCTCGGCTACGTTGAGGCCACGCAGGCCGGCGGGGCCTGAGCACTGGGTGAAGAGCCCGATGGTTGGCCGCTGCCTCAGCCATTGCGAGAGCCAGGCCAGGTGGCAGTCGCAGAACAGGTGGTTGGAGTGCAGGCGGCTGCAGGGAGACAGGGACGCTCACAACCCACCTGGGGCCCCCAGACCCCGGCCAAAGAGTGGGAGCCCCTCTACCCAGGAGGGGCCGAACCCCATATTGCACTTGACCAAGCACAGTCCATGCGCAGTCAGCCCACAGCTCCAACCTGGGGACTGTCGGCAGCAGCAGGAAACTCCCAGCCGCTGCCCCTTCCCTCCCAGCATGCTGCCCTCCGGGGGGCCTGGACTGCATTTTGCCCGGCTCATGTCGATTCACCTCCCTGAACTCATACAGACCCACTGACCCAAGTCCCATAGCTCATTTTCAAGCACAACAAGAAATCATTGGTTTTCCAAGGAAAAATCAAATATAAATGACACTCAACCTCCTTTCATGTCAGATGACCTCCCCTGACCCCACCCTGGCTGGGCGCTGGGGGTGCAAGAAGGAGCCCCCTCCCCTGCCTGTGGAAGCCTGCGCCCCGCTCCCCACTGCCCCGGCACCGCCAGCTCGGGGCTGTCCTCCCGGCCACCCCACTGACTCACAAGGTCCGCAGCTTGGGCATGTGGTTGAAGCTGGACACGGGGATGGTGGTGATGTTGTTGTTGTTCAGGGTCCTGGTGGGGAAACCAGAGTCTGTTAGCGTCTGTCCAGCAGGAGCTCACGTGGGAGGGAGAGCAGGGCTTCTCTCTGACAAACAGGCGGACCCTCACACTGTTCCCCGGTCCACCCTCAAGCTGGGCCAGCTCTGGGCTGGACCTGGGGCGGGGGGTGAGGGGGAGAGGGCAGGGGCCTATGCCAAAGAGCATGACACAGAGCCACCACCAGGGAAAGCCCTGAGCTGCCTGATCAGGAGGCAGCTGTGCCGCAGCCTCGAGGCTGGTGGGAGGAGGAGAGGGACAGGCACAGGCACAGGCGTGGGCTGGCTTAAAGAAGGGGCGGGGTCTAGACAGCCACGTGTCAGAAGCTCCTGGTAGATACAGCCATGGCCCTGGTGTCATCATAAGCAGGATAAGCCTCGGCCATGCTCCTGGGGGCACGATGACTTCGAGAGCATGCGTCCTGGAGGGCCTGCCACGCCTCCCAAGTCTCCTGCCTCCTGTGCTCTCCGAGGCCCGCACGCCCTCTCCGAGGGCCCCACACCCGCGCCAGCCGGACTCCCCAAGCCTCTCTTCCCTCCCGTGTGTTACTTACAGCACCTCCAGCCCCCGAAGAGCCCGGAAGGCGCCTTCCTCGATGCAGCTGATCTGGTTCTTGTCCAGCTGTCTGTGAAGCAAAGGGAGGGTGTGCAGAGGACGGCACGTCGCTGAGAGCAGCGTCCACACATCCTTACCAAGCGCTCCATTCCATTTTCTTTTAAAAAGGCCTGACCCCATCCCTTGTTCGGAACAAATGTGTCCATCCAAATAGTAAATCGTAAGAAGTTAAATTATTCCTTGTTTTTTAGTTAAAACAATAAATGTAAATAAAAGTTTTATTCGATGCCTCTTCCTAACCTTGCCTCTCTCCTGGGGAGCAGGCACCCACCCCATTGTGGAGACCACCTAGAAGGTGCTGGCAGCTGAGGAATGAGTCTGTCACAGCAGCCATGGCAGCCAGAGCCGGGGGCAGATCCCAGCCCCAGTGCCCAGGGGGGCTGACGAGCTGTGGCTACCTGGAGCACTGCTCTCAGAATACACTGACGCCTGGACCGGGCTCCTTGGGAAAGAACGCGGTGATCAATTACCAATGTCTGCTACAGGCACGGGAGGGGGCAAGGGGACTGTTGGGAGTGACAAGCATGCCAGGCATTTGCCACGTCTCGTTCGAACCTCAGAACAAGCCCGTGAAGTAAGTGTGATATCCTCATTTCACAAAACAATATGTTGGGGCTCAGTGAGCTAACTGACTTGCAGCAGCTTATGCAATAAGTGCCTGAAAGAGGAGATTCAAGCCCAGCTCTCCCAATCTCCCGAAGGGCAAGGGCACGGAGACTGTCCGTTCAAAGGGACCCAGAACATCACCCTGGCAGCCCACAGCCCTCCAAGACGGCCCGTTTCCTCCCACTCCAGATGGTGCCAGAAAACCATGCGGGCACCGCCACCTCAACCCAGAGACCAGCTCCGTGGCTGCCTACACTCCAGGGCTCCGGGAGACCCAGGAGAATACTGCCAGGGGAGGCCCTGTGGCCCCAGGCCCCCTCCACCCCAGGCCTGTACTCACAAGTTTTTGAGGTCTGTAGCTCCGCGGAAAGCCTTCCTGGGGATAGCCTGGATGGCGTTCTCACTCAGGTCCCTGTGAGGGTCGAGCCAGAGGAAGAAACACACTGGTCAGAGAGGCCTCTCCAGGGAGGGGAGGGCGCCAGACAGTGGGACTGTCACAGCGGCATCCCAGCCTGGGACAGTGCCTGACACACAAAAGCTCCTCCCTGGTAAGCATTTGAATGAATGAATGAGCTGGAGCTCGGTGCCCCGCCACCTCCCATTCTCTGGGCAGAGGGGTTGCAACTGGAGGGAGAAGCTTGGGGCATGGGTGACCAGCTCTGCCAGACCCCAACCTGCCTCCCCCCTTCCACTCACAGAGGTCAGCTCAGCCCCTGTGGCATCCTCCAGGGATGCAAAGGCGATGGCAAAGGAGAGACGGGCTTCTCGAGGGGCCCACGGCCACCCCAGGATCTGTGGAGAGTGCACCGAAGGCTCACTTTCTGTAAGAAAGCACCTGTGGCCCCCAGGGAACCCGCCAGTAGGTGGCCCCCAGGTCTTGAACTCCAGGCTGTGTCGACGCCAGATCCCTCACTCTCAGGATTGCAGGCAGCAGAGCCACCACACAGACCTGGGCCCACAGGGGGACTGGAGCACGCTGGCCTCAGGGCTGCAGTGCCACATCCCTGCCCTGTGCTCGGAGGGCAGGGTCACTGAGGATTTCATCACCTCCCCCTTAAAATCCTGGTGTGAGGGAGGAGGCACGGCAAATCTCCAGCCTGTGCGAGCCTAGGCCAGCTCTGGACCCTTCCTCCAGCTCCTCTGGCAAGACTGGGCCGCTGGCACTGTCCTCCTGTTTCTCCATCCCTCTCTCGACCTCTTCACTGCAGGCCTTTACAAATGCCCCTTCCCTTCCCATAGCAGTGGAACGAACTGCCATCGTGTTCTGAGCATGTCCCCCCGAGCCGTCCTGCCCAGCACTTCACATGTGTGAGTGCACCTGACCCTCACACTGACCGTGGGGGAAGGTTATCCCCATCCCCCTTCCACAAAGAAAGAGGAAAGGGAGGCTCAGAGAAGTTAAGCAGCTTCTTTAAGGACACACAGCTGGCAGGTGGTGGCTTCAGAAGGTGAACCCAGGAAGTCAGGTCCCGAGCTCCCCCTTGCACAGCAGGCCTGGAGTGGGAAGCATCTCCCACTTTGCAGAGGAGGGAACCTAAATATTTTACCCAAGGTTGACCAGGACGGGGACCCAGGTCTGCAGAGAGCCCTGCATCAGACCCCGCAGCCAGGGCTGACTGTCCTGACGTGGGACTCAATGTCAGGCAGCCCCCAGGCCCCCTGACCCTTCTCCTGGGCCAGGCCCTCAGGCCTCGACCATCTCCTTCCCATCACCATTCACCACATGAGCCTCAGGCTCCACTGTGAGGCCTGGGAACATGGCCCCCCTGCACCCCACCCCTTGCCACTGTCCCCTGAGCTATTGGGGCTTCCATCCTTCTATCTGGGTTTTTCTGCTGAGACAACAAAACAGAAACTCCACAGCAGAGTGCACATGGCCCTGAGCCCAGGAAGGCCGGCTGGAGTCCTTGGCTCCCCAGCTCCTGGCTGTGCGTCTATAGCAATGGTTCTCAACCTGTGGGTCGCGATCCCTTTGGGGGTCGAACGACCCTTTCACAGGGGTCGCCTAAGGCCATCGGAAAACACATATATAATTACATATTGTTTTTGTGATTAATCACTATGCTTTAATTATGTTCAATTTGTAACAATGAAAATATATCCTGCATATCAGATATTTACATTACGATTCATAACAGTAGCAAAATTACAGTTATGAAGTAGCAACGAAAATAATTTTATGGTTGGGGGTCACCACAACATGAGGAACTGTATTAAAGGGTCGCGGCATTAGGAAGGTTGAGATCCACTGCTCTATAGGCCAGCACAGTTTCCTCGTGTTATGCAAGTAATCGCCACCATGGCCGTACAGCCCGTACTGGCTCTATTGTTCCCTTGGTCTGTGGGCTTGTTCTCTCCCTCTCCTTCAGTGGGATGCTGGGCAGAGTAATCTAACAGGTAAATTACTTCGTTGGGAGCAAGACACAGAGGTAAATGGCATGGCCCGCACTCAGGGGCTCACGGTCACAGTAACCAGGAGCCAAGGCAGACGTGGGAGCCCCACGTGGAACCAAACCGGCCTTGATGGAGCACCGACATGCTCTGCGACAGCGGGGCTCACGCAAGCAGAGGTCACACAGTGCACAGAGTACCCTGAAACACTGATAGCCCTCGGAGGACACACGGAGAAGCAGAGAACGAAATCTCCATTCCTCCATTCAGCGAGTGTGTGCTGAGAGCCGATTACCTGCTGGGGATGCTACAAAGACTTACACTCTGCTTACAATAATCATGGGAAGGGCAGTATTTCCAAAGAGATGAGCGAGCTCAGAGGAGCAAGTGACCAGCTCTACCTGCGGGAGAGGAGAGGAACTCTGAGGCAGGTCCTGAAAAGTAAGTCAGAGTTTGCCAGACAGGAAAGGGAAACGAGGGAAGCACATTCTACACAGCGGGAACGGCATGTGCAAAAGCCCAGAGGCAGGAAGGAGCAAGGCAGGAGGGCTGGGGCCGTAGCACACAGTTTGACATGGCTGGTATGTGTCGATGGGAGCTTTGTGGTGGTTTTAAAACACGTCCACAAATTCTTCGACATGCCTCCCTTCAAAAGGTGGAGCTTAATTCTCCCCTTAATTGTGGGTGGGAATTAGGACCTCACTCCTAAAGAGTAGAATATGACAGAAGTGATGGACAATTTCTGAGACGAGATCATAAAGGATCCTTTTATGTAGCTCCTTCTTTACTCTCTCTCAGATCACTCGCTCTGGGAGACGCCAGCCACAATGTCATCAGGACTCAAGCAGCTTTCTGGAGAGGCCCACGTGGAGAGGCACTGAGGCCCGCAGCCAACAGCCAGCGCCTCTTGCCAACAATGTGGGTGAGTCCTCATGGGAGTAGATTCTCCAGCCTCAGCAAGCTTGCAGATGCTGCTGCCTGCTGCGGACTCGATGCTTGTGTCCCGGCCCCCAAATTCAGGTGTTGAAATCCTAATGCCCAATGTGATGGTATTAGGAAGTGGGGGCTTTAGGAGGTGCTCAGGTCATGAAGGTCGAGCCCTCTGTGAATGGGGTTAGTGTTCTCATAAAAGAGTTCTGAGAGAGCTCCTCTGCCCCTCCCGCCACGTGAGGACCCTGCCAGGAAGCGAACCCTCACCACTGTATCTGTTGGCCCCTGGATCCTGGACTTCCCGTCTTCTAGGACTGTGATAAGCTGCCCAATTTATGGAACTCTTATTACAGCAGCCCAAACAGACTAAGACACAGCCCCAACCCACATCATGACTGCAATCTCATGAAAGACCCCAAGCCAGAACCACCCAGCCACCTGTAGAAACTGTGAGACAATCAATGTTTATCGTTCTTTTGGGCCACTCTATTTTGAGGTACTTGGCTACACAACAGCCAACGACCAAAACAGGGGTGCTTTGTGGAAATGACTCGGGAGAGGGGCTTAGAAGCTGTGCTGGAGAGCGTGGCCCTGACCTGAGGCATGAGGATCCTCTGCGAGCTTTCGAGGAGAGCAGGACAATGCTTAGACTTGGCATGAAGGAGCTGAAACGTGAGGGACGTGGCTCCATCACTTCCCTGTTTGAGCCTCAGTTTCCTCATTTGTCAAACGCATAGGCTGGACCAGATCATCTCTTAGTCTCCTCACCGGTGTATGCCCACCACACACCAACTACTCCAAGACATGGCAACTGAGGCCCTTAGGGCATCTGAGATCCCGGGGTGAGGGTGAGGGAAGGGGGCCCGCTGCTGGCTGTGTGACTTCTGAGAGGAGTGGGATGAGAGAGAACAGACACAGCCACCCTCCTGCTCCTCCCCACAGGGAACAGAGCACATGTGGTGAGGGCAAGACAAAGGCAGGAAGGGCAGTGGCCAAGAGACGTCTACAGACCAAGGAAGATGGAGGCTGCCCTGGGGTGGAGACCTCCAGCGGGACCCTCGCCTTGGCCCCAGCTGGCAGCTAGCCCTTCGACCAAGCCTGGGAGGGAACTCTGGGCTGCACTCACATCCATTATTCCATTTAATCCTCACCACAACCCTGCGAGGAAGGTTTTCTATTTGTATCGATTAGTTTATTGATTTAGGCCAACCGTGTTCCAGAAAGGCTTTGAGGTGGCTTATAGGGATTTATAAAACAGCAAGAGAGCAGGGGTGAAAAGTGGGACAAAGAGAAGAAGGAAAATCAATGGTAGATGCCAAGAATGCAGCACCAGGTGGCCCACGCACCAGCCAGCTCCAGGCGGGGCGTGGGCGCGAGGCTTTCTGAGAGCCCGTGCGTAGAGGGGAAACTGGTCAGTTGGCAGCACCCTCAATATATGTATAAATTTGAAAGGACCAGTTTCAAAGGATAGCTATTTGGGGCACTTAAGATGAGAAGAGAATTTCCCCAGGGGTCTTCATTAAAAGTGACAATGTGGCCTAATCAATAACGCTAGATCCTTATAATAAATGGATTTCAAGTGTCTGCTTCTTATAATAGCGCGTCAAAATACAGCCTAGCAAAAGCAATTCTATAAAAACTCACACCAGGAGCTAAGTGGGGAGGGAGGGGCAGGAGCAGTCTGGGCAAAGGCAGGAGACATGGTGGTAGACTCGGGCATGGTCTAGGAGCAGCTGGGTTTGCCGGGAGAGGCAGGGCACAGGGCTATGGGCAGACAGAGGCTCAGAAGGAAGTCCCAGGCGGGACAGTGCTGGGGATAGGCGTTAGCAGGCAAAAGCCCTGCAAGCCAGAGAAAATGACAGGTTAGAGCAGAGATGGGCGTATCTGATGGTTTTTTAGACATCGCTCTGGGGCACCAAAGCTTACAGAGGAAAGACGCTGCCCCTGTGTATACAGCAATACACCAAGAGCCAGTGCAAGAGGTGAGGGTCTAGGGGTGGGAGCAGAGCTGAGCTGACCTGGGGACCTCAGGCCCAGCCCCAGGCGAGGCCACAGCAGTGAGCAGCTCACATTGTTTAAATGAGTAAAGGA